GCATGTGCCTTCCTTCTTCTTGATGTTTGAGCTCATGTAGCCCAGGCTGGCCTCAAGCTCGCCATGTACCCCAGGTTGTCCTTTATGGCCAAGGATGACCTTGAATTTCTAATCCTTTTGTCTCTACCTCCCAAGTGCTGGGATTACATGTGTGTGATAGCACTTCTGGATTTCTTCTTTTCTTTAATATTTTAGACTTTACCCCAAATAGACCCATCCCAGTATTTTATTTCTCATGGCAGCCCCCTCCAATCTGTGAACTGCCCCATGAAGCCAATTAATTCAGTTCTGGTGAAGACTGTGAGAGAGGCTCTTTCTAATCCCCATAGTGCAACAAGCTTCGGTTCAAAGCACTTACGCCGGACGCCAGCTAGGAAGTTGGGAGGGAAACAAGCATTGTTATAAATTAATGCTGCTGGTGATTAATATTTGATATTTTTTTTAACACATATTCATCTCAGGAAAAAGCCCTCCTTAGTTAGCATAGCTGAGTGGTGAGCAGTGTGTTCACTGGTGTGGACTTCCTGAGCCTCTTAGGTAAGGATCTCCAGAAGACAATAGGTACAGTCTAATGTCAGAGTCTCTGGTTTGTGAGGGCCCAGCCATATCTGCAGAAGTACAAGCACTTGTGGCTGGGCCTGTCCTCCACAGCCTCCCCTGCCCCCATCCCTTCCTCTCTTGGAGAGCCAGCCCCCTAGTTGATTTCATCATGTCTTGGGGGCCCAAAGGCATTTTCTAGGTTTTGTTGAGGGCCTGTCCCTGGGTTGTTAGGGTAGGGATTTGCCCTACCTATCTTATTTTGTCTGTGTAATAGAAAAGTTAATGCTGATTCTTGTTTCAAAGGTGCATGTTTGCCCCGAAATCCACATCTCTGGTGTTTCTTGGAAAGTGGCAAACCCTGGAATCTCTGTTTTGGCCTGTCTTCACGGTGTACTCCCTCAGTCAAGTTCACAACATGAATTCTGCCAACCCCTGAGTGTGAGGGGGAGGGGTCTTACCTCTTCTAGGATTTTCTCACAGTTTTTTTTTCTCCAATATCTTGAAGCTGTCATTAGTAAGATCCTTTGCCTCCTTGGTTAAATTCATTCATTCATTCATTCATTCATTCATTCTTTCTTTCTAAAAAGCTATTGTGAAAGGGATCTTTTTTTTCTTGATTTCTTTCTGGGCAAGTTCACTGTTGGTATAGAGAAAAGTTACTGCATTCTTGTGTATGTATGTGCAGGTGTACATGTGTTCATATGCGTGTATGTGCATACATATGTTTGGATGTGATGCACATGTTTGGACATGTATGTGGAGGCCTGAGGTCCACCTTGGGTCTTACTCCTCAGGGCTCCACCTTGTTTTCTGAGACAGGATCTCTCATTGGCCTGAAACTCAATGAGTAGGCGTGGCTGCTGGGCAAAGGAGCTTCAGGGATCTGCCTTTCTCCTTTTTCCCAGTGATTATAGGCACAAGCCTCTGTGCCTCCATGCCCAGCTTTTTATGTGAGTGCTGGGGGTTGAACTCAAGTCGGTCAAACTTGCGTGCAAACACTTTATTGACAGAGCTTTTCCCTGGTCCCCTGAGTTTTGTAGGTTGACTTCATGTCCTGATACTAAGACTTGGAGTACTCTGTTACACAAGAGTGCTCCCCACTTAGCGCTCCCATCTTATCAGTGTTCCATGGCTGTGAAGAGACACCATAACCAAGGCAGTTCTGACAAGAGAAAGCATTTAACTGGGGGCCTACAGTTTCAGAGGTGAAGTCCATTATCCCAGCAGGGAGGGAGCATGGTATGGCAGGGATGATGTGGAAGTAGTTGAGATCTGTATCTTGTATCTTGATTTGCAGGCAGAGAGAAAGGAGAGGGAAACTGAGCTTTTGAAAATCTCAAAGCCCGCCTTCCTCCAACAAGGCCACCCCTCCTAATCCTTTTAATCCATTTTGAATAGTGCCTCTCCCTGACTACAAACCTATGGCGGGTATTCTTATTGAAGCCACCACAGCACACTTGTCTCTCTGGTGATTTTTAGAGCAGACGCTCTCAGTTCTCTGAATTTGATAGGACCGGCTAGGTTTGTCAGAGTAGCCTTTGTTATGTTGAGGTGTGTTCTCTCTTCAGGACTTTCATCATGAAGAGATGTTGGTCTTTGTTCAAGCCCTTTCGTGTATCTGTTGAGATGTTTGATTTCTGTTCTTAAGCCTATTCATGTGCTGTGCTGTGTTCATTACATATGTTGAACCAATCTTGCATCCCTGGAATGAAACCAACTTGATCATGCTGTATGATCTTCTCTGTGTGTTCCTAATTCAGTCTGCAAGTGCTTTGTTGAGAATTTTTGTTTCTACGGTATAAGGGATGTTAGCTCTTGAAACCACATGACCGTATCAATATCATTGCTCTTCCTTTAGAAGAAGAGACTGAGGCATGGAGGGGTAAGGAAATAATTTGCCCGTAGTCATAGCCCCATGTAGCTGACCCTGGATTCAAGGCCACAATGGCCACACATGATTTTTCCTGCCACCTTGCAGTGTGTGTGTGTGTGTGTGTGTGTGTGTGTGTGTGTGTGTGTGTGTGTGTAGGGGCAGGGGGAGTATTCCTTTGAATTTCCTCTATTAGACCCACTTGGGCTCACTCTGTCTGTGTCTAGTGCAGACTCATAGAAGATATTTAAGAAACTGACCTCAGCTGGCTTTGTCCCTACGGGAATCTGAGCGGAGAACAAAGCCTCGTGCTGAAGAAGGGGTACCCTTGGGTCCCGAGTTGTTTCAGCCGCTTTCGTGAGTCCCCAGACGCGAGCCGTCTAGACCGAGGTGATAGGCCTTTGTGCCGTGCCAGGTCGAGAGGGCTCGCCTCTTATCATGGTCTGTCTTAAAAGCTTTTTCTCGATTGTGGCTTGCACCTGCAGATAACCTCTCGCAGCAGCGCTGTGCTCGGTGGGGCGGTGTTCCAGCGCGCACTCGAACGCTCTCAGAGGGCTGCCAACTGCACGAACAAATAAAAGGCAAATAGCACTAAGGGATCTTTGATTCTCGGTTTTGCGGTCGCCTTCCGGTGGCAGAGGTGGTTGCACCTAACACCGGTAGTCATTGTCCTTGAGAAGTTGTACTGGGTCAGGCTGGGCCGTTGGCAGCGTGGAGCCACAGTCAGCCCTTCCCCAACACCTTCCTGAAGGTGCTCCCTCAGAGGGTCTTAGTGCTGAATATCGCAGGTTGGGCCCACTGCACATACTGTGGCTGTCTCAAGGGGTGCCTGGAGGCCGAGAAGAAAGACTTAGAAGCAGTGTTGGTTTCATGAGGGAATGTTCAGGACACGTCAGACCTATTGGCCTGAGTTTCTGCCTACTCATCCGCAGTGTGCCCTGTAGACATTACCAGTTATTTTCTGCTGCTTCTCAGGGCAGTGGCAAGGCCTCTTAGCACTCATCTGCTTACTCGGACATTCCCTTAGCACCTCTTGTACGTTCAGTGATGGAGGATAGAGGAGATACAGCCTAGAGGCAGGGCCTGGTCCGTCAGATCAGCACCCTGAGGGAAGGAAACAAGAAACAGGTTTCACCTTTTAGTACTGATTTTGCCCCTTCCTTCTCTGGCCTTTGAGGTGAAAGGTGACAGGTGGCAGCTGCATGTGCTCGTGACCACCTCCCAGGAGCATGAGAAGCAGCAGTGTCTTAGACTTCTGGGGACACATCCGGTGGCTTTGTGAAGGGTGTGCACGGAGGAGGCCCTTGCCACAGTAGGGATCAGACCTGACTCCTGTCCTTACTTCTGTTCAAATACTCTGGTTTCCTTTGCCTGGCCTCTTGGGTCCCCCACAGGCCAAGTGTGTGACATTTCAGACTGCACCTCTTCCAGAAGGGCTGGTGAACCAGATCCACCACCCTGGCCATTCAGCTCTTGCAGCCTGCCCTCTCCCCACTTTCCACCCTTGTCAGCCTTCCTTTCCATGAAGATGTCTGTCCTGTTCATAGCAGGCAGCTCTTAGTCTCTTGTGTGTTATTGCCCTGAACCCCTTGCCTTCCAGTTTGCCTGCCTTATCCTGGCTTCATCACGGTTACCCAGTTCATAGGCCTGGGACATAGTTTTCTCCACCAATATTATGGAGATAGACTTTAGCTTCCTTCCTGTCTTAAATCTCTCTCGTGTCAGAAGGCGTGGCCATCTGGCTTCCGTGGCCTGGACTCCAACAGGATGCTCAACATTCCCACCCGTGTGCATCTCCACTTACCCCCGAGTGGGCCTCCTACATGCGGTCTCATCATACCGCACCCCTTAAACTGCCGCTGCCTTATTCCCCCTGTCTCTTTGTGTGGGGCCTGCATCTGCCTTCCCATCTGTGCTCCCCAGTTATCCCAACTGTTCCAGTGACCAGACATTTGTCCCTTGCTTTCTCAGCATCCCTTTCATATGAACACTGTGTCTCCAGGGATGAACGAGCCTTCTCTTTTAGACGTTGCTCTCTGTGGGAACATGGAGTATGGTTGTTCTGGACTCTAACATTGAGCTTCATCCACGGAGGTGGCAGATTATACAAGCATTCTTGGTCTCAGATGCCACCTTGAGACTAGACCAAGCCCCTTCTGGAAAACTGGTCTGGGTGAGACGGACATGGGAGCATCTTGGACATCCAGTGAAGTCTGTCTACAGATGGGGTGAAGGAGGAAGGCTTGTGGCTTGGCTGCTCACAGAGCAGAAGGCAGAACATGAAACAGGTTCCTGGTAGCAGCCCCACCTGTGTTAGCTCAGAAATCCTGTCTAGAGGGGAATTTGGTGTAGAGGGGCCTGTGTTGACTTTTCCCAGTCTGTGTACCCTTCAACTTTGAAGTCTTTATAGTGGTAGAGTTTGCAGCTCTTATCAATGTGGGTCTTGGGTAGTCTGGGTGCTATCTCACTGTGTTTGTGGAGTAGCCTGAGGATGGGGGGTGCCTCTGAAATCTGGGCATCCAGCCAGAAGGAGCCCCATTCTATAAAGACTGCAAGGATGGGCGCTGGCTAGACCGGTGGTGGCCTGCTCTCCAGAATGAGGTGCTTTGTGTTGCTCCTGGCTGTCCTTGCCATCTCTCAGAGCCATGCGCTCACCAGGTGAATGTTGGATGCTGGTGGGGGGCAGGGGAGGGCATCTCATGGACCCTCCACGGGCATGTGGATGGCTGCTCTTCCATCCCTTGGTTCCCTTGGGGAGATTCTACAGGGCCTGCTCTCACTTCTGTCTTTGCACGTTGCATGTGATTCTGAGGACAGAAAGCCTGGGGTTAGGAAGGCATGGTTTCTAGACCCAAACTGCCTGGCACTTGGCCCTCAGTCCTCTCACCCATTGGACAGTCTGTGCCTTCGCTTCTTCAGCTGCCATGACATCAGGGTCATCGTAGTGCCAATCTTTTAGGGCTGTTATGAGACTGCATGAGTTAATATTTGTAAAAATGCTTCAAATAGTACTGGACATATGGTAGGAGCTATATATGCATCCATTAAAATAGATTTCTTGGTGTACGCGCTCCTGTAGAGAGGTCTGTAGGTTCTTCTCCAAAAGTAACTAGGACATCACCTTTACTGCCATAGACTGGGTGACTTGCATTTTATAGATGAGACCACTGTTCAGGGAGAGACCCTGAGCTGCCCGACACCATGCGACCAGCCGGCTGGGCTTGCACCCTTGCTGCTCCCACCCCCAACCCAGGTGCTCATGTGTGTTCTGTCAAGGCCTGATCTCACAGAAGATGGATTGGATCCCTGAGAGGAGGTTGAGTGTCTTGGTCCAGTGAGGGCTCTCTGGGAGGGGGAGTGTACTGATGATGAAGTTTTCCCAGGTCCAAGGTTTGCTGGCTGATGTTGCTGGCTGCTATATGAGAGACAGAGCTGGAACTGAGGACCGTGGGGTGGATTCCAGGCAGGGATGGCCTTCTGGCTCTGCATGAGGTAGATGCTGCATTCTCTCTGTAACTCTCTGGAAGAAGAGGGTCCTGAGAGGGTCCTGAAGCCACTACGTGGCACTTACGCTTCGGTAATCTCAAGATGTCTTCTCAACCAGCTCTAGGAGAACGACAAGGTCGTTACAAGTTTTAGGAACTGTGGGACGCACACAGTTCTACTTCAATCTACAGGGGAGAAAAACGGTCATATGGTCAAATACAGAATAAAAAAGTGTTGGAAAGGCATAATTAGCCCTATTGTATAAGAAGAAACTGAAGATAAAGGCACTCTGACCCTCCAATGTGAAGATCAGAGAGCTTTGATAGCCCCCCCTCCCTGCAGTGAATTACAGAGGACTTGGGGAGTCTCCTGGCTCAGGGACTTGGCAGTTTTCAGGTTGCCAAGGAATATGGCAGAACCGAGTCCAGAATGGTTTCTTCTGCAGTTTTCTCTCTTCTTCTTTTCTCCCTCCCCCCTTACTTTTTTCCAGTTGACTTGCCTCCATGACCCCAAACCTTAACTGGGCAAAGAGGACCCGTTTGAGGTCCTGCTCTTGCTAAAGGGTTTCCAGTCACTTTAGAGAAAACACTACCAGAGAGAAAAGAAAAGGGGTTGGCAAAGGGTGGCACCAATGCCACACAGGTGCCACTGTGTAGGAGACATAGAGAGCTCCTTCTGTGTCCTTTCCACTATGTGTCCTCTTTGCCTTGGCACACAGTGAGGTGACAGAGAACATTTGGTGACCGAGTAAGTGATGGCATCCCCAGCGTCTTTCAAACCATTAATAACAAGACTCACGGCTTACTGTGTCATTCAGCTAATACAGCGAGTCTCTACCATACCGGAAAAGAAAAGAAGAGAGAGGGGCCAGGGCAGTGTGTTTAATGAAGCTAGACAGTGACCTCTAAGTTGACACAGAATCTATGATTTTACTTTGAGTTATGATTTTAATAGCTGGAAATATCCTTGGCCTGTGGAACGCTGGCCAGAGGCTGGACTGGAAACAACAGGGTGAGGATGGTTCGTGCAGCCCAGTCTCACTTACCTCATCCCACCTCAGGATCCCTCTGCACAAAGGGAAGTCTCTGAGGAACACCCTGAAGGAGCGTGGGCTGCTGGAGGGCTTCCTGAGGACGCACCAGTCTGAGTTCAGTGAGAAGGGCTTCGGCAGCGGCATCGTGGCCAGTGAGCCTCTGACCAACTACCTGGATGTGAGTGTTTCTGCAGGCCTTCTCAGGGATGGATTCTCATGTTCCTAGGTTCCTGCCTTGCCAGAACATCCTCTCTGTCAGAAACCGTGGCGCCTGAGTCGTGGAGGCCACCTCCCTGCCTGCCATCAGTAGCTCTACCATGGGCCAGCAGATCCAACAAAGTCAGCTCTTCTGTTCTTCAGGGCTCCAAAAGCCTTGCCGGGATGGGTCTAAGTTCCAATGAGCTGTTTCCTTGGACCAGGGGGGACCTTGTCCTAGTGTGTGGTCATCAGATCTGGTGACAACAGGGCAAGATGTCACCACAGCTGCGGAGGCATGGAGAAGACCGTTGAGCACTGTCCCTTTCTGGAGTCCCCTTCCCTGTCACTCTTGACAGCAAGCAGCCCGTGCTTTTATGTCTGTGTTTTCACTTCTATATCTAGGCCACAGTTCTTCCCCAGCCTCCAGGGTGCTGGCAGGAGGCAGGGGGGCAGGAGCGTGGCTGGGCTCCTGGGACTCTGCCCTCAGCAGATGCCCACCTCTGTGGCTGGCTTCTTGGCAGGATGCTCTGCTCTCTTTCCCAGGCAGGACTTTACTGCCGGTCTGTAGTGCGCTTCTGAGCTGAAGCCAGCACTGCTGTTGGGCTTGGGGTGGGACCGCAGAGGGACTGAAGCAGAGCCCTCCCTGTGGAGCAGGCACAGCCTTTCCTTTTCCCCCACTTGATGACCCCCTTCCCAGGTCTCTGGGTAGAAAACACAAGACCCACGAGAGTCTGTGTCTGGCATCAACTCCCCAGCGCCCCCAGCCCCTGACTGCACCTCTGACCAAGAGCTGTCTGTCCTTAGAGTGAGTACTTCGGAACGATCTACATCGGGACACCGCCCCAGGAGTTCACGGTGGTGTTTGACACAGGCTCCTCAGAGCTCTGGGTGCCCTCTGTCTACTGTAACAGCAGAGTCTGCAGTGAGTGACCTCCCATCCTGCCTATCTCTCTTGTCTCTTCTTTTCCGGCCTCCCAGATGAGGAAACAGAGGTCTAGAGAAGACCTTGGCTAAAGTTACTCAGATAACAGAGAAAATGGACATAGGAACCACACACCTAGTTTTCTTCTTTTTTGTGTTTGAAATTGTACAGGTGGGGGAGGGTGGGAGGGAGCTGGGCTTTCTTGACCAAACTATGGGACCATGCTGCCCAGAGACCAGACTGCTTGCTTTTCACAGAGAGAATGGCTGATCCATAGCTCTGTTCTTACAAGGTCTGGTGAGGGTTTCCACCCTGCTTGGGAATGTTGGGGCAAGCTGACACCATGGGTTCACTAATCTGGGTCTTTGTTGCAGAAAAACACCACCGCTTTGACCCGTCCAAGTCCTTCACCTTCCAGAACCTGAGCAAGCCCCTGTTTGTCCAGTACGGCACTGGGAGAGTACAGGGTTTCCTGGGCTACGACACTGTCACAGTAAGTGAGGTGGCAACAGCCTGGGCTCGCCCCACCTTTCCCTGTAGTTATCTCTCCCCAGAGACACCCTGGTTCCAGTGGGTTGTGCATTTGGTGCGATCCCTTGGGTCCTGTCCACTGGATGGCTCAATGGGTGTGGAACTCCCACTGATAGCCTTTTGTATAATGTTCCCTTCCTTCCTCCATTGCTTATTGTTTCTGTTCTCAGAGCTCCACTCGAGTGCCTCCCCCAGTTCCTGGTGTTCATTTCCCCATCCTGGCCAGATTTGGCCTGTGTCACTCAGTTTACTCTGTGAATCCTCTGTCTATGGCCATGCCTCCTCTAGCTCCCTTCCCTGTGGCCTGTTCGATCCCAGGCCTTGGCTTCACGTCTGAATGTCACTCTCTCATCAAGGTCTCTCACCATCCTATAAAATCACATGCTGCCTATGACCTCACCATGACTTGTTTTCCTTCTGAGGGCTCATTGTCCCCTGTGCCATATCACTGCTTTTAAAAATTCACTGTTGGTCTCTTCTGTTGGATAAAATGTTTCTCAGGGCAGGGGCATTTCTTTTTGTCCATTGCTACATCCTCAAAGCCTTATCCCTGGCATATCGGAGACCCTTAATAGTAGTTTATAGGCTAAAGCAAAAAAAAAAAAAAAAACAAAAAAACAAAAACCAAGCTATTCCTTAGCACCTGGCCACCGTTCATTTATCCACACCACGAATGCTTGCTTTAGGGAAGACAGTGGTGGGCAGGAGGAGAGCGGACTTGCTTGTCTCATGCTTTCTAGCAACAGGCACTCTGGTGGCCTTGTGAGAGCATGGCCTGCACACAAAAGGCAAGGCCGATGGCTCTGAACACTGCTGAGTAGGGGCAAGAAGAAAACAAAACTGGAGCATGTGGAAGAGAGGGTTTGGGAACCAGAGGACCGAGGTTTGGTGGACATGACAGCCGGTTGCAGGCTGGAACCCAAGTGATATCTTTCCAGAAGCCAGGCCTGAGGTGACCTGTGGTCAGCACTGCAGAAGACGGAGGGCAAGAATCCTGGGATGGGGGAGGAGCTGGAGCAGCTGAGGAAGGGGACAGAGACCAACATGGGGGGCGAAGTGAGCTAAGGGGCACAGGATAAGTTATGAGAGCTGGGGCCGGAGGGATAACTCCATCTGGCCTTTACTGAGAAGCGTGAGGCAGTTGTAGTCTGTGTGGTAGGCTCAATTCAGATTTTGAAAGCCAAATTGATTGCTCAGTGTGGAAGTCAGTTGATTTTATGGGACAGAGCAGAGGCATGAGATCTGCTTCAGCCCTTTGTGTGGCCCGGAGCAGACTGGTGGACACATCTGCCCGCTGGGGAAATGGGCAAGTCAAGACCCTCCTTCTTTATCATGGTACCAATAACTGTTCAATGCACAGACACTTGGGGACTCAGTGGGGTGTTCAGTTATTTAGCTTTGGCACCGACTTGAGATTCAGGCATTGTTATTCCATTTATCGGATAAGGGACTGAGACCTGAGAGGAACTTGTTCAAGCTCAGTCAGCAGGCGACAGAACGGGGACCCACACAGCACCTGTGAGTGGCGATGCCTCCACAGATAGTGTCTGAGAGGGCCACGAAGGCTCAGGTGCATCTGCTTCTGCAGGCAGCCTCGAGACAACCACCATCCCACTTCCTTTGGGCTTGTCCCCAACGTGAAACCTGTGTCTGCACTAAACACTGTCTCCTCCGCAGACCAGTCATTCAAAACGAAGCAGAACGTGTAGAGGGCCCAGCTCACTGCAACCTCTTAAGTTGAAAACAACCCCAAATTATCCATAACAGGGAAGATAGGCCAGTGAGGGCTGGATGCTGACCCTGACCTGTGGTCCCAGGCTGGCTGCTCCATCCCTGAACTTTCCTGTCTCTGGCTGCAGAAGCTCCCCGATGAGCTCATCATGCGCTGTTTCTTCTTCTTCTTCTTCTTCTTCTTCTTCTTCTTCTTCTTCTTCTTCTTCTTCTTCTTCTTCTTCTTCTTCTTCTTCTTCTTCTTCTTCTTCTTCTTCTTCTTCTTCTTCTTCTTCTTCTTCTTCTTCTTCTTCTTCTTCTTCTTCTTCTTCACAGGTCTCTGACATTACAGTTACCCACCAGACTGTGGGCCTGAGTACCCAGGAGCCAGGTGACATCTTCGTCTTCTCTCCATTCGATGGCATCCTGGGGCTGTCCTACCCTTCTCTTGCCTCCAAGTATTCAGTGCCCATATTTGACAACATGATGAACAGGCACCTGGTCGCCGAAGACCTGTTCTCTGTCTACATGAACAGGTAGGAGCTGTGCTTAGCAAGGGTCTGACTTTCTACCTGGTAAGGACTGGATACACACACACACACACACACACACACACACACACACACACACCTGAGATGAATGTCTGTCCCTCGGAAACATACCTGCCAAGGTAGCCACCAGCATCCAAACGATCTCCATTCTGGTTTCTAGGCACCTCTACTATCTGTTCAAAGCCCCCACTGAAGTCGTTTATATACTGGGTCAAAGATGACTTTCGTGTGCTGGACCCAGGTTCAATCCCCAGTCCTGCAAATAACAGCAACGAAAGTGAAGCCTGTTCACATCTCTAGACGAGCGCTTTTGACGTGTTCTTCCAAAGGCACAGGATCTCAGCAATCGTGTGTCATCGTCTTTGAGATCCTGTAGAGTCTTAGCTTCTCCTTCCACCAGGGAGAGAGAAAGAGGGACGCTTATTCAGGACTGGGCGCTCCTCATCAATGGGGTGTCTGTTGCTACAGAGAGGCCTTTCTTGGTTCCAGGAATGACCAGGGGAGCATGCTCACGCTGGGAGCCATCGATCAGTCCTACTTCGTAGGCTCGCTGCACTGGGTGCCTGTGACCGTGCAGGGATATTGGCAGTTCACAGTGGACAGGTGGGTGAGCAGAACTTTGCATGGGCTCCTGCAGGAGGCTGACTCTTGATGTGTGGATAAGGGGGCTCAGGAGTAAGAGCACAGGTCCGAGAAGAACTGCACCCAGCAGCTCTGAGATTATTGATTGGTTCTGATAGCCACCTGTGAGCCACCAGCATCCTTTGCAAGTGGTTGTGTTGTGTATACAACCCTGCACTGGTCACACTGACTGCCTACTGCCTGGGGGGCACCGTGTTGAGCCTGTAGGTCTACAGTGGCTGTCTCATTGGTTCCCACTGAGCCTGTAGGAGGTGGATGCCAGTATTGTCTTCAGAGTGTAGGTTATAGACTCTGAAGGTTTTGGTCTGAGCCTTTAGCCATCCTTAAGTTGATTAAGGGGTTGCTCGTGTACCCATTTGGTTCATGAGGAGCTCAAGTATACAAATGTTGGGGACATTCATCTGAGACATATATCAAGTAAATGGCGGAGAAAACTTGAAACCGGATCCTCAGGCAACTAGTTAATCCTCATTCCACTCAGGGAGGGGCAGGCAAATGGATTGTTTTGTTGTTATTTGGACCCTTGCAACTGTTTCCAATTTAGCCACCAATTGAGGGGAATTTTCTCTGAATTTGGAAAGTTTTGGGGGTTCCAAGAAGAGGCAAAAAAAGGGGACCTGGACCTCCTTCCTTCCCCAAGGATCCTGGCAGGGGTGGGAAGGACCCAGGGGGAGAGGGCAGGATACAGGTTGATACTGTGTAGCCGCTATGCCTAATCTTCCAGGATCACCATCAATGATGTAGTGGTGGCTTGTCAAGGTGGCTGCCCTGCCGTTCTGGACACAGGCACTGCCCTGCTGGCGGGCCCTGGCGGCGACATCCTCAACATCCAACAGGCCATTGGGGCTGTGCAGGGCCTGTATGGCCTGGTAAGGTCAGGCCCTCTCCTTACCTCTAGAGAACCCCTGCCCCGCCCTCCCACCTGAATCAAGAGCCCCTTTCTGCCCAAGAAATGAGGAAGAGGATTGTTGGTTGAGACTGGTTTTCAAAAGTGGGCAACCGCCCCTTCCAGCTTTGGTCTGTGCTTGCAATGGGAGTGCCAGTGGTTGGTACGCGGAGAGGCTACGCCTCTGTGATCTTTGTAGTAGTCTCTTGTTTCAGTCTCCTCACCCCTTCGGGCAGCCACCCCTCCCCTTTTCCCTGAGGCCCTTGTGCACTCTGGTTGACCTAGAAGGAAGATATGCCTGCGGGCAAGCCTCTTTTTGTCCCATGCTGGGCTCTGTCCCTGTGTTGCCAAAAGCTGATCCCTCTTGTGGGGCCATGTTTTGAGACCCAGATTCATCTGGAGGGTGTCCTTGTTTCCCTCTGAGGAGAGCCACATGGTGTGGAGGAATGAGCTCTGTGCCAGCAGTGCCTCTCTTGATAAATGCCGTCTCTCGCCCTTCTCTCAGTTTAAAGTCAACTGCTGGCGTTTGGGGATGATGCCCACAATTGTCTTTGAGATCCACGGCAGGATGTTTCCACTGCCACCCTCGGCCTATATCAACCAGGTATGAGCTTCAGGAGAGTGATGCTCTGGGTCCACCTAGTATCCCTTCCCTTGGGACTTGGGCAAGTCAGTGGAGTTGGTGAGGACAAATGACATGGACCAGGCAAAGCACACAAGAGTCATAATGTTCATCTTTGAGCCTATTTGTGTGGCCTCCATAGCTTCTTGCTGAAAGAAATAGGAAACAGAAAGGACACCGAGGGCTTGGAGGAGGGATATAGATTGGACCCAAACCAAGCACAGAGACCCCCATCCACTGTTCAAACTTCCAAGCCCTGGCAGCACAGAATTCTATCCAGAGTTTCCATAGCTCATTTTGGCTGTCGTGGGCACTGCTGGCCTCAACATGGCCTGGTCCTGAGTACCCCAAACTAATGATGATTAAGGGCAATGGATGTTCAGTGTGATGGTAAGGGGCTAGATGTGGGGTGCAGTACATGGGGTCAGGACCTCACCGAATAACCTCAGATTAAGTACATTTAATTTTTTTTAAAGATTTTTTTTTTTTTTGCTTCTAATCCCAGCACTTGGGAGGCAGAGGCAAGAAGAGCTCTGTGAGTTTGAGGCCAGCTCCAGGACAGTCAGAACTACATAAAGAAACCCTGCTTCAAAAAATAAAACAAAAAATTATTTTTTCTTTTCTTTTATGTGTCAGAGTATTTTGCCTGCATGTTTGTATGTGCAGTATGTGAGAACCTAGTGTTCATAGGGATCAGGATAGGATATCAGATCCCTTGGAACTGGAGTTACCGATGGTTATGAGCCACCATGTGGGTGCTGGAAACTGAAGCTTGGTTCTCTGGAAAAACACAAGTGTTTTTTTTTTTAAACTCCTGAGCCCGCTCTCCAGTCCATTATTTCAATTTTTAGTTATTTTTAATGTGTGGTGTGTGGGTGGAGAAGTGGGGCGGGTGTTTGCGAATGCAGTTCTTGTAGAGGCCAGAAGAGGGCATAAGATCCCCTGGAGCTGGACTTACAGGCAGTTTTGAGCCACCCAATGTAGATGCTGGGAACTCTGGACCTCTGCAAGAAGCAGGTGCTGCTAACTGCTGAGCCATCTCTTCAACCCCTACTTTCTATCTGCTGAGTATGATGAATCCCATTCTCCTTGCTTATCCGGGAAGGTGATTTCAAGGATGAAATGGGACGACCAAGAGTGATTGGATGATGGGGTAGAAGACCTCTTGTCTTTGAGTCCAGCTTCATCTCAGTGTTGCCTTTTCCAGGAACCGGGCTCCTGCACCAGTGGTTTCAAGTTTGGTTCCCAGATGTGGATCCTAGGGGACGTTTTTATCCGGGAGTTCTACAGTGTTTTCGACAGGGCCAACAATCGTATTGGGTTGGCCAAGGCTATCTGATTATACAACTACACCAGATTGTGTTTTACACACACACACACACACCAAGTGGAAAGCTCCTAATAAACACTGCATTTCTTCAAAGACTCTTTTCTCTCGTTCTCAATGGCACCGGAGCTCTGCACTAATATGGGGTTGGGCTTTGTCTGCCATGTACTGTGTGGGCAGAGCTGTGACCAAATGAGCCGGGGAAGGATAGGTCTATGGTTGTCCGGCAGGAACTTTCACCAAGGGAAGGGCCATTTCAAGCTGAGGTGAAGGAGACTAGGCATGTGTTGTCCACCTGTCTTTCCATTCTAGAGCTTTCTAGAAGAGGCCATCTGAGGATTAGAGGCAAGGGTGTGGTGTTAGGGCTGCCAAGAGAACACTCAGGCCGTGGAGGGGACGCCTCCAGGCTAACAACTAGTAGGGCTTCATTGCTGTTGCAGACAAGGATGGGAAATGCAGAAGCTCTCTGAAGGGTCCAGGGTCCAACGCTGCTGCTGTTCTGTGGTGGCTGGAACCCTGGACAGTGTCCTGTTCTTTCTTAGGACACACACTGACTATCAGTGCTCAGGGCATCTTCATGCTGGTGTGCTGTGAGGCTGGCAGTTGAGGTCAGGTGCCAGCTGTTGCGTTCCCAGGGAGGACTGTGGTGCCAATGGTAGGCCCTCCCTCTCAGCCATGCACAGTCTTCCTGAAGGAGCCGTGACTGGGTGAGGACACGGGTTGAGGTAGATTTGCTGGCTTTCCTGCTGTGTGTCAGTTGGGCCCTCAGTCACCTTGGGGGACAGGCAGACAAGCTTCCAGAGAGGATCCCCAGAGCTTGGAGTCTGCGTGGACTCCCTAGAAAATGCTCTTCTGGAGACTGCACATGTCTGCTTCTATTCCCTTCTCTCTCTCTCTCTCCCTCCCTCCTTCCCTCCTTCCCTTCCTCCCTCCCTCCCTCCTTTCCTGCCTCCTTCCCTCCCCCTCTCTCTCCCCCTCCCTTCCTTCCTCCCTCCCTCTTCATCCCCCTCCTCCTACCCCCACCCCTCTCTGTGCAGGAGAGCACGTGGAAGTCAAAGGACAGCCTTGAACATCATCCTCAGGAACACTGTTCACTCTTTTGAGACAGGATTTCTCATTGGCCTGGAGCTAGCTCACTGATTAGGCTAGACCAGCTGATCAAGGAGCCCCAGGGGTTCTCCTGGCTTTGTCTCCAGTGCTGGGGGCACAGCTGTGTACCATTATGCCCAGCATCTTTCCATGGCTTCTGGGCCCAAGCTCAGCTATTCATGCTCACGAAACAAGTGCTTTATTGACTGAGCCATCTCCTCAGGGCAGGTACTGCCTCCTCTTGACTGGCGTTTCCCCAGGAAAATGTAAGAATTCAGACGTCTGTCATGTCAACAAGAGTCAGTCTTTTGCGGTCCTAGTTATGTCGCACAGTGGTAGTGAAAGACTAGACCTGCTCTCACTGGTGGAGCCAACCTCCTCCCTCATGGAAGGCCTCGAAATGGGGCAGGCCCCTTGCTACCTATTCCCATTCCACTTTGTCTGGACGATGGGCGGATGGAGGAGGATGGGCAAGATAGGCAGAGTCTCGGGCTGGAAGCTCCTGACTTGGTAGTGACACTTCAGAGGAGACTGAAGACAGGGTGGGAATGTTCTTGACTGTCCCAGTGGGGGTGATGGTGGAATTATATTACTGACCATCTGGAGGCACCCCTTGGGGGTCTTTCTCAGAAGTAACCTCAGAAGTGACCAAGCACAAAAAGGACCTGGGGGACCAGGGCAGTGGAGACATCACCAACCACACCTGTTACCTGGGGGGGGAAGGTCTGTAGAGGGGTAGGCCTGGCCTCCAACAGGGAAGAGGCAGATGGGGATGAGGAGTTGGAGGAATGGCTCCAGCTACCTCCCTGGGGAGCTGAGAGTCTGGGGTGAGTTGGAGCAGAGGCCTTGAGAGACTATAAAGGATCTCAGGACAGGAGTGGTACCCTCAGTGGTTAGGCCCTGGTCTCTGAACCTCAGGGTGCCCGGAAAGGAAGGTCATTGCTGGGAAGGAATAAGAACTGGCTTCGCCAAGCCTCACTTTTCATACACAGGACCAATACTGTCTGTTTGTGAAGAGTGAGACAGAATTAGGTCAGTTCATTATTTCCAGTCTTTGTATAGATTTTTTTTGAATAAGAAAGAAAAGAGTTATTGGATTAGCTTACAAAAATCCTGTTATGTGTTTCAGAGGTTTACATTTAACAATTGTATTTTAAATACTCAAACCTCATTTGGAGACCGTGGAGAAAGTCTAAATGAGGTGACGGTCATAAACTCAAGGCTTGGATCCAACAGACTCACCCCATAGTGCTCACCTGGCCCTGGTGGTGTTCCTTGTCAGGAGCTGGTGAGGACACAGTAAGCCTGGCATAGCGTCTTCATCCTGGGGTTCTCTGGGTGTGACCTGCATGGTGAGCTGTGGCCTTGGTCCTGCCTGTGATGCGCTCCACACCAACAGCCTTCAGGGCACATTTCTGTCATCTACCAGATCTCGCATCCACAGCCTGTCCTCAGAATGTTCCTGAATGGGCTGGTGTTTAGTCCTGATAGCACTGAGAGGGCAGTGGGAGAAGGATGGGCTAACTGCCTTTAGAGAATTACTATATACAACGGGGTCCCCTGTGTGCTGGGGCTTTGCCAGGGATGAGTGAAGGGGCCACCAGCACATCTATGTTGTTGGCAAGGGTGGGGGATGCTTTTCAGGACTGGGCCGGCACACAAACACTTCCCACTGTCTATGTCTGGTGGTGGACCAGTCTGCAGAGAGAACAGCGGGGGCCCTTGGTGGCTGTTGTGTATAGCCTCACCCAGCACCCAGGAGCGGGGCTTTGGGTCACCTTCTACTCCTCTTGTCTGCTCTCCCTTCTCTTCTCTCACCTTCAGCTCTCCTCACGCTTCAGACCAACTTAAATATCATCTGCTCTAGAATGGTACCCCACCCCTTTGCTTTCTGGGCTGTCACTCAGCAGTGCCATTTAAAGCAGCATTTCTGAGTCATAGCTATACATATGTCTCTGACTGAGATGCTTCAGGACGGTGGGGAGTCTGTCTGTCCTCTGAATCCTCAGCTGTGTGGTGAGGCTGAGTTCCCAGCACAGCACAGAGGCTCAGCCTGTGCCTGCAGGCATCTGTGCCTTGGTGGTTTGCATGCCTCTGACAGAATGGCGTAGAGTGGGAGAAACATGAGAGAAAGGACACAAACACAGACACATACACAGACACAGACACACACACACAGACACACACACACAGACACACACACACAGACACACACACAGACACAGGCACACAGAGAGACACACACAGACATAGAAACACACACTGACATAGACACAGACACACACAGACATAGACACACACAGACACACACACACAGGCATAGACACACAGACAGACAGACACACATACAGACATAGACACACAGACAGACACACACATACACACACGCACACACACGCTTATGCACAGGCACATGCTTGCACACACACTGCCCTGAGGTGACAGGCAACAATCTCAGGCCTCCTGTCCACTTCCAGCCCTCTGCCTCCCCAGCGCTCACCTTGCAGTTCTGTGCTAATAAGAGGAAGCATTAGCCCTGGGAGCTGCTGGAAAGGAAGTCTTTGAAATGGAAATGCTGTGACAAAATGATGGATTGTTTTCCTGGAGCTGTGTGGTTTGTTTCTTCTTCATGGCAGAAGGGAGACCAGAATAGACAGGAATAGCAGTGGCTGCCCCGTGGCAGAGTCCAGAACGGTGTTCTGCAGTGGCCCCCAGACCGAAAGCGGGAAGTAGGGAAAGGTGAGGGCGGCTGATAGACAGAGCCTGGCTCCTGTCAGGTGGCTCTGGTCATCCCTGGGGACACAGCTTGCAGCAACTGTGGGGAGGTGGCAGTACCGGTGCCAAGAGGGACATCTGGGCTGTCCATCTGCCTGGGTCACACCCAGCATCACACAGCCCGTCTCTGTCTTCTCTGCTGTCCCCTAGGCATCCTGTGTTTCTCGCCTTCTCTGTCTGTCACAGGACGCTGCTCATCCTTCATGCCAGCTTAAATGTCATCTCCTCTGAGAAGGCGCCTGTTATACCTAAGTCCTCCTTCCCCAAACCACAGGAGTGATTGATGGCTGAGTCCTAACCCCAAATAGTCACTTGTTTTTAACCATTTTCGGACGTGATACACTGCTCTAGGCACTGTGTCCATTGGTGAGCACACAGAAAGACCCTTCCACGTTATAAAGCGTGTGTTCTACAGGAATGCAAACCATGGAGATAATAGACGAATCCATGAAGGCCTAGGAGTAAAGCCCAGTCTAGCATTTGCCTGGAATGTGCAAGGTCCTGGGTTCAATTCCTAGCACTGCAAACTAGACAAAGCAAATACCTCGAACCAAGCAAAAGGAAAGTGCGTGTGGGTATCAGTGCCGCGGGGTTGGGTGGAGACTTTGAACAAGACTAAGAATATTGAGCTTTAAGGTGCAGCCAGAAGGGTAGGCTCAATGAGGAGGCAGCAGTTAGACAAAGATACGAAAGAAGGTTAGCAATGCACCAGCAGGAGAGAGAAGTTACCGGTGGGTAAACAGGAATGTGCTATTTTTTGCTTATATTGCTTGGTTTTCTAATGAAATATGAGTCATTTCTAACTTTTTATAGCATTTAGTATTGGCATAGAGGTTCTGTAGATGAATGTTGAAGGAATAAATAAACCAAGCCTTCAACGCGCCTGCCCAGGAGTCAGCGCTAGTCCTAGAGTGCCCTCTTGTGACCAGATCTCAAATGCCAGCCTAGAGCACCTTGCTTATACCTGGGGCATTCTTTCCCACCTCAGAAGACTTTGGGAGCAGCGGTCAAGCAGGCAATAGACTTGACTGCTTGCCTCATGCAGTGACAGTTTTTTTCAGAGGTACCACAGGAAAGAAGGTCCCTGTCCAGCTCTGTATGTCTGGTTAACCTTTCTGTTTTTGTTCTACGGAGTCCTCCAGAATGATCTTTTCGGATTGCTATAATATTGATTGAGCGATAAGCTG